AGATGCTAACTGCGCCAACTCCAATTTCAAAACAGATACAAAAGCAGCAGATACAAAAGAATGAGATGCACCCGTGTCAATCAACACGCTAGCAACCGAGTTGCAAAACAGAAAAGTACCTCTCACTACTGATGGAGCCGGTACTAAATCCTGCGCGGTAACAGCATACACGCACCCTGTGGGCCCTTGATCTACCTGCTCACCTCTAGGAGCATACGACTGCTACACTGACTGGGATGACAAAGCTCCCGGATTGGCCCTCGAGGCCTGCACAGACTGAGCTGGCTGAAAACCCTGCGTCTGCCTAGAACCAGACGCTCCCAAAGTGGCATTCAACTATGGGCAATACCTCTTCAGGTGCCCAGGCTGACCGCACTGATAGTAAGACAAAGGCTGGCCCCTGCCCTAACTCTGGCCCTGAGGTCTAGCTGAAGAAGAAGCAGCTCGCTGACCCCCTCCCTTCTGGGGGCAAACCGAAGACTTGTGACCCAGCTGGCCACACGCAAAACAAGTCAAGCCTCCTTGACTACCTCTCCCCGAGCCTGCACTTGGCACCGGAAAGGTCGATCTAGTAACTCCTCCCTGAGACTGCTGAGGGTTATAACCCCTCTGCCTCCTGCCATCACCCTGGCCCTCCTGGCCCCGCTTGGAGCCTCTATGTTTCTCCTCGTCTTCCTCTTGCATCATGAGCTCCATATGAGCTGCAGCATCCACTAAGTGTCTATACTCTCGGATGTAAGACCCACCAACTCTCAACTTGAGGCCCCGCCTCAACTTCCGCTCAAACTCATAGCAACGGCGTTCTTCGGACACCACCAACTCAGGTGCAAACCTGGACAAACTAGTGAAAGTGGCCTCAAACTCTGCCACAAACATGCCCTGCTGATTAAGCTGGCTTAACTGATCCCTCAGCTTCTCCCTAGCCACTGCAGATAAGAACCTCTCCTGGAAAGCATTTACAAACGCCTCCCATGTACCACCGACACGAGCCTTCTCGTACTTCCACCATTGACCCGCATCTCCCTTCAGTTGGAAGGATGCCAAGGTCACTTTCAATGCCCCGTCCTCGATGCCAAGCATCTCGAACGTCTTACTCATTTGTTCCAACCACTCGTCAGCCTTCAGTGGCTCCTTTGGATCCCCAACAAACTCATCCGGATTAGACCGGAAGAACTCCCTCTTCAAGAAAGAAGGTCCTGCCTCAGCTACCTGATTCCTAGCCCTGAGAATACCCAAAGCCCCAGCTATCTCTCGTGCCAAGGCACTCATAGCCTGCTGGCCCGCTGGCTCGGCCACGTTGGCCTGACCAACTCCCTCTTGCACCGCCGGAACCTCCTCCCGTAAAGGCATCTCCTGCCTACCATGCCTGCCACGCCTGCCGCGTCCTCGTCCTGACATCCTAATAAAGGTAACCAAGACAATTAGCACATTCATAAATGTGCCGAAGCTATACACTCGTGTCCTAATGCATGGACAACTGTGATTCACTCCACGTAAGCACATAAACACATAAGCACTTACGAATTTCAGCTCTGGATAATGATAGTCCCGAGGCGTTACTAGAGTTCCGATTAGAAACAACATTGATCAAGTGCTTTTCCAACAAGACTCCCAGAAACCCAAGGATCCAATCAACATCCTAGAAACTACATTCCATACCCACATAGTCACATAAGCATGTTATCAATTAACACTACAAAAAAATTAACTTTTTGCGACGGTAAAATACCGTCGCTAATACTCCTAATGCCGTCGCTAATACTTTTTGCGACGGCAAAATGACTTTTTGCGACGGCAATAGGGGGTCGCAAATGCAGGGGTCGCAAAAGAGTTTTTGCGACGGCACAGTGCTGTCGCTAATGTTTTGCAACGGCATTTTTGCCTTTTTGCGACGGCACTGTGCAGTCGCTAATAACGTTTGAAATTTCTTGACTTTTTTGCGACGGCACTATTTTGCCGTCGCTAAAAATGTTATTTAAGACGGCAAAAAATACCGTCGCTAATAGTCTTTTTTTGCAACGGCAAAAAAACTATTTTTTGCGACGGTGTGGTGCCGTCTCAAAAAGTATTAAAAAATAATAAAATTTCTATTTTAAATAATAAAATTTCTATTTTTTGCGACAGTGTAATGCCGTCGCAAAATGTAAAACCTATAACAAAATTAATAAAAATATTTTTAAAAAAATTCATCAAACACCGTCTCTACTTGTGCTTCCTTATCCAATGAACCATCTTCTTTGTCCTGCCCAAACAACAAATATGAATTTATCATTAGATTAATTAAAAAAATTATCCTGTTTGCGCCTGTTTTCCAATCTCCCGCTTAAAAAAAAAATAAAATGAAAGAACCTAAATAGGAGAAGACATTCCTGTTCCTTTAAAATTTTCAGTAAATTCAAAGATCACTAAGAATACAGTGTAGCATGATAAAGCAACAAGCATGAAGTCCCTAGACCCACTTCGGGGCATCATTTTCCAAAACGCAAGAAATGCTTTCAAAGATCAATCACACGAGAAAGCTTCTGAATTCGGTTTAGTAGGAAGTCCCCTTGCTTGATAGTTGCTTGATAAAGAGCATTCTTTGTATCAGGACGGTTAGTTTCCAAAACACCGGCAACTTTATCAATCTTGTAATGAAGCTTCCCTGCTGCAATAAAACGTGACAGTTCCCTGGTGCAAACGAGGAACTCAATTAAACACCAATGGTTCACAATAAAAATCAATAACAGTCTTACAGAAAAGATCAAAAGCATGAGTGAGTGTATCTAGGAAAATGAGATCACTTATAAATCAATGAACTCCACTGTTACTCCAAATTCTTTTGCCATTGCCTCAATTGTGACACTCTTATAGGATTCCAAGAATTGGGAATAAACCACTGTCCTAACCTCCCTCATGTACACCGGAAGTGGGGATGCAAATAACGGTCCAATTTTATTTGCTCCATCAGGCCAGCTGAAAATCAATTAGATAAAATTTCATATTGGAATAAACTATAAGATAACATATTCAGATTGGAACAATAGTTTCAACAATTGATCAGCTTCACAGTAGTGGGGCATTTATCCATGCATTGTATGTACTTGTGTCAACATGAGAAAGTGCTTGTGATCCTCCTTTATATATAGATCCCACATACTCAAATCTATCATGATTAGACTACTTCAGCCATTCAATTTCCAGTTCATTCTATGGGCAGTGTAAACAGATTTGAAGCTCTATAATCAAAGGCAGAATATGAATACGTCCAACATTTTGTTTACCTATCTATGTAATATATAATACTGCAAGGGTAAAATATGAGATATACAAGATAAATACTTACCAAATGCTGAGAAAAATGACTTATACTGACAATCATATAAAGAGTTCAAAAACCCCAACAGATTTTTCCCAATAACTGTCAAGATCTCAGGAGCATCAACTACCTGCAACATGTAGCAACACAGGCATAGTAACATTATAAGCATGCCACATAAACAATCCCTCCCCCTCCCTTTTTTTCTTTCTTTATCACCAGGAAAAACAAAAAAAGGAAAGGAAAGGAAAGGAAAGGAAAGGAAAGGAAAGTAAAGACAATCAAAAAAAAGAAAAGAAAACCAAAATACTGCCAGCCAAGTATCTCTCTAAAAAATTATCAAGGGGAAAACAATTCCATGCCAAAACACTAATGTGCAACTGTGCGTACCTTCTGTTTCAAGGAAACTCTATCCAACGATATGATACTGGTAAGGACCGTGTAAAATATGAAGTTGTCATATGGGAAAAGTTCATAAGTTGTGAAAGTTGAGATTGAATCAAGAAACAAACTGGTGGCTTTCTTAAAGTTTCGAGTAGACATGTAGTACAAGCCTTCATACACCTTTAGACGATTCTTCCTTTCCTAGTCACCTCCCTCCTCAGGCTACCACCCCCTACTTCTTTGCTTTATCAATGCTCTTGGAAATAAGATCGAAATCCATACAGAAAAAGCCAAACTGTAGCGTATGGAAAACCAGGTCCATTTTCTGCCCAACAGCTACTGTCTTGCTTTTTGTTAACCTGAGCTGTTCCAAAGCCTTCTCCTGGGTTTACATCACGACAAGTTAGGAATAAAAGAAGTCTATAGAAATGAGTAAAAAACAAGCAGATGATTAAAGAATTGAAAGACATAACAGTTATATACCTTGTCCCCAATTCGTATGAAAAACAATGACTTGGCTAAATGGGCTTCTCTAATTTCACTTTCACCTAAGTTTTCTTTAGCATCAGCAATCCTAATAAAAAATGCAACCCGATAAAAGTACAAAAGAGATCAATCAACTGTACATCATATACACTTGCATTACATTTAGATACACAGAAAGGGGAGTGAAGGGAAGTATAAATTAGTGATGGAAAGAGAAGGGAGGGAATGAAAGTATACATCTTTTTTATAAAATATACATCTTTCTAAATATAAGGATCCTTATAAAATATACATCTTTTTTATCTATTCATTTAACCTCAAATCCCTTGATTTGAAATCCATATCTATCCAAACGGACCCTTATATACTTATGTTTTCGTAAAATGAGGGGTATAATTGGTATTAAAATTATATTTAAAAACCAACACTTCGCTTCCCCTCCATTTCCTCCCAATTTTAGAGGAGACGGGAAGCGCTCAATTTGTGGACCCTCTCTCCCCTCACAAACCCTCCATATACTTTCCATTGTTTTCTCAAAAACAATCCAAACAAAAACCAATAACTGAACCATAAGCATCATCAGACACTGTCTCCATTTGTGCATCTGTAACAAAAACCCAAGAAAAAAAAATGAACCATCAATGCAGTTAGATCTAATAATTCCTTTCTGCTCTAATTGTATCTTTCCTTCTGCGTCCACGAGGAAGTATCTGCTCAGCTGGAATAGTAATGATTAAAAACAGAATTATGGAAAACCCATATACCTGGATTGTGACATTTTATTCAGAAAATGTTCTAAATTATGAAAATTATACTCTGGTTCTGTTGATTACCCTTCCTTTTCAAGATCCTCAGAGACTTGGTCATAGAGAACTTGTATATTGTCGAGGTTTGAGTTGCCACAATAGTGATGGAAATCAAATGAAATATATCTGAATCAACAAGAAGTATAAATTAAAACTTCCCCTATATTAAGTAGGGAATGAAACTCTAAAAGATGATGTTTTCATTTAGAAACAGAGCATGTGAAAATGATATGTAATATGCATAGATTTTCCATAAAAAATGAAAAGCTGCTATGATTCAATCTATCTCCCAAATTTCAGCAAGGCCGGAAAATCTTATCCTTCCTAATTGCATGTGATAATGGTGGTTGAAGAAGAAACAAAAAGTTGATCATGTACAAATGGCAACTGAAGCTGTCACCTGCTTTCATCTCCTCCAATCTTTTTCACTGTTTTTTTTCCCGTAATCTTTCTTTAGTTTATCTCTCAGGTATCTTGTTAATGAGTTTTTCAGAAGCCAAAAAAGGCAAACAAATATTCTATTTATGATGTGTTTCAGTCATCCAAGTCACATGTTGACCTAGATGGTTTCTAATGTACTGACAATATAAAATATATTCCAATCAATGCATCAGAAATATGGCATAATCCGAAGCGCAAGTACAGGCACATATCGTAGAACCTCTTCTCAGCACCAAAATTGGAACTCAAGCAGAAAGAGACAATGACACATCTCTTTTGCATTTATACATCTCTTTCTACTAAAAATACAATCTTTTCAACATTTTATAACATCAGATCCAGACATCTGTTTTTCTAAAATTTTTCTAAAAAATAGAAATTAGTTTGATAAAAATAAACACCATAATGATATTTTTGAATTTTAAAAAATTATTTTCTCCCTAAAAAATTGTAAGACTATATAAAAATGATGAGTGTTTTTTACTTATTATTTTTTCACTAAATTAGATCTTAGTTTTTTTCAAAAAAAAATCAGAAAATAATGCTGCAAACCAAACCAAACCAAACCGATCAGTGGATGTCTAAGCAAACATCTATCACTGTGGATATTATCTGTTCAAAATTAAAGATTTCCATACTCATAGAAATCTAAAAAAAGTTCACAAATTGCAATGAACATGAAAAGAAAATCACCTCACATTTGGCAGCTTTTCCATTTCAGTAGCATATGCCATACTCAGTTGACCCTCATCGCCATGCTACAACACAAGATAACATAAAGATGAATATTTGCAATTGGAGAATACAAAACAATAATTGCATAAAATTATATGTAAACTTATGTGCATAAATTTCCAGTTTGGAATTCCATAAAGTGGACCAGCTGACCCAGACAATGTCATGGAAACTGACTCAAAGAATGTAAAAAAAAAAAATTGCTACCATAGTGATAATTTCCTATTTGAACCATCATAGAGTTTCTTTTACGTAAAAAAAAATAGACTTCAAAGAACAACATTCATATTTGTTACCTGGATTTCTCCACTTCCAGTAAGGAAATCATATTGAAACTACGCCCCAGGTTAATGTCCTAGTGTGGTGCTGGAAAGTCTTACCTTATCGGTTAGGTCAACTGCTACAGTCTCTCCGTATCTTTCTATAATATCATGAAAATGGCACTCCACAACCTTTGACTCAATGAAGAAAAACACAGTTAGATGCTCATCATTACACAACTTAAACATAAAGTGCTGTATCCAGAAGAAAATACATAATGTTTTCTCATGATCAATAATATTAAGTCGTGGTTTATAGCTCAAATCAACAATTTGCTCCCAAAGGAGTGGAATTGAACTCGAATATGAAGCAAATTAAGAAGTAGCTGTTACTCATTGGTTCACTTGCCAGAAATTTACTTTGGGGTCCAGAGAATAAAAAAGCAAGTCAGCCAGTGAATTGGTCCACTTAAGATATTGAGTTGAAAAGATATTAACCGGAACAATCAGTATCTGAAGGCACATTTCCTGTGGAAATAATACCTGTAAAAATGAAGACATAGAACCTTCAAGGTTAGCCCCTCTTCTCCACATTCGGGTCCCTCCATTCAATATAACAACCAGTTACTACAATGTTTTGCCATAGCCATATTAATAGGAACAAAAACCAGTGATGTCTATATTGCACTACCTAGGCGCCGTGTACACCTCCTTGAAATTAAAGTAATTGTGGCTGGTGAATTTTTCAGCTTGAGTTGTCCAGTCTGATAGCTTATGCCTTGGTTAAGTGAAAACACCATAAATAAGAAACTACTCTTGCATCCATAGTTACCTTTAACACGCACGCATGTGCTCATGCATAAACACATGCGCGCGCGCACACACACAAAATAAGCATTGAAAAGCTTCAGGATATTCCCTTGTAACAGAGGGATGATAAACCCATACATAGGAAAAATAAAACATATTAGACAAAGAATTTGTTTCAGTGATCATATTTCAGATGTCCAAATAGGCAACGTTGATTAATCACTTAGAAGTACTTGCTTTGTTTTTTATTGCAAACTTAATGCAATATTTGTTTCCTAAGGAAAGACAGGTGAGTACAAAGCAATGATAACATCTTTTGAACATAAGAAATGTTAACCTTATTCTCAATGAGCTCCTCCAAAATATTTTTGTTCCAAACAAATCGGGGGTCAACCTGAAATACAAATAAGAATTCAGAATCCAAGACTATTCAACAAAGTTGTAGCTACTGTTACTTGAAAACAATGAAAGAACAAAGAATGTTAAATTTTTTACAGACACACCCCAGACAATACTTGATAGTCTCTTACCAACAGTCTGTTATAAACAGATCTTACAACTATGGAGTAATGAACCAAATTATGAAGAATGAAGAGAAACTTAATTATGATGGGTTTGAATTTTCTTGAACTAGTTAATATCTTCACCCAACTGTCATTTCAGATTTTAAAAAGTAATCAAGCAACTTTGTCAAAGTACTGTATGAGTAATTTGGCCCACAGAGACATCTTTTTCCTTATATAGAAGTATACAACATGCAATTTGGAAGTCACACTGATAATATCTGTTAAATTCATCAAGTTTGAGTTACTTCGAGTAAAAGTTAGCTAAGAAACACAGTAAGCAGACAAACCTGCTTCCAAATTGGTTTACTCATTACAGAGATACTAAAGTGCAAAGCTCATTAGCAGGAACAACTAATTAGCTAGGCTTATGGGGCTTCGAATAGCTCTGGTCTAGTCACGAGGCTTCAAATTATTTTGAAACAAGAAAACAAACAAAAAACAACACTACAAGTCTACAATATTTAACCCTATTTTCTGACATGACTTTTGAAGTAAAGAAAGCTTCGATTAAAAATAGAAAACTCACCTCTTTTGACAAATAGATTTTTCTTTGCCATCTCTGTGTGCAAAACAGACTTTGATTCCTCATCAAACACCATCTCCTAAACCACAAAACCAAACCCAATAATAATTTAATACAACAAAGATCGATTAATCAAAACAACTAATATAGATAAAGATTGTGAAGATGAGAACCGGAAGGGCATCTTTGGCAGCAATGGCAAAAGGAGGAGTAGTGAAGAGAGCGAAACCCATAGGATGTTCACCTTTGCAGTTAACCTGCGAAGCCTCTTAACGAGGTAACCATCTGAGAAGGTTCTGGAGTTCTCTCTCCTTCATGTCCTCGGGGAGGCCCGATATGAAGATCGTTCGAACCTAGAAACCATCTAATGGATCTACTAATGATTTGAAAATGAATCGATCGAATTGATGAGATGAAATTGAAAATGTACCTCGTCGTTGGAGAGGCGATTAGGGTTTTCCATTGGCATGGAATGGTGGTGAAGAGGAGGAGCAGCCGTGGGAGTAGGAGGAGGTTGAGGAACAGTCGCCGGCAGCCACTGCGGATGGTAGGGGTGGATTTTTGATCGTTCGAACCTAGAAACCAAACACAGTGATGAATCTAATGGATCTACTAATGATTTGAAAATGAATCGATCGAATTGATGAGATGAAATTGAAAATGTACCTCATCGTTGGAGAGGCGATTAGGGTTTTCCATGGGCATGGAATGGTGGTGAAGAGGAGGAGCAGCCGTGG